CCTGCCATAGTATACGTTAATGTTACACTAATAGATTTACAAAGAAGTGAGACAAAGCTGTTTGATGGTGAAATAAAATAAAATCATATATTTATATATATAAGGATATCTAATTTATAAATATAATTATAACACAATTAGAAAATTTATGTTAAACATACTTTACGTGTCTCAAACGGTCGATTAAAATTTTTGTGTTAATTTAATACAAAATGAATATGTTAGAAGGTAATACAAATATTATATAAAAAATTAACACGAAAAACACTGACACAAGTTGTAGTTAAGCCATCATATTTCTTCAAAATTAATATTTATAATATGTTAAATTAATATATTTTAATAAATTTAATATTTTTTTTTATAATGTATTAATTATCACATTTTGTTCATTTATCGTAGAATTTTATTTTTATATTATGTTGACTTATTCATAAGTTGTGTTATTGTAACACTAAGAAATCAATGTAAAATTCAAAGTATTTAAATAATATATTCTCATTATGTTAAATTAACTCAAACATACTAAAAATTCGGTATAAAATTTTAACAAGAACTTCAATGAACCGTTTCTAACACAAATACAAAATGTTTTTTATTACTGCGAAGGAAATTATGTAAATAATAAGAATTATTATTATTCTTTATGGTTGAATTAATATATTTTACATCTGTATTTATAAAAAAAATTAATTATGTATTTAAAGTATAACGAAAACTAGACATGTTCTAATACATTCCAATGAAGCGGCAAAGAATATAATTTCATTATTATTGTGGTACGACATTACATTGTTACAAAATGATTTCCGCAAGTTTTGTAAATGTACAATGTAAATAAGTAAATTTTTAAGTAGCAAATAGACAAATGAATTTTTATTATCATATATTTACTGGTATTTCTTTCGATTTTTATTTATATCTATACTTCCAATGGGATAAATCTTTTTTTGTTCAGGATTAACGTCGGTAATACAAAATCAGAAAGTTTCATCTTGCATCTTTTTCACTGCCTCGCAAAATCAGCAATCTTGTGGTCGACGAGCTCGATCTGATACTCAGATTTCAATCTTCTTCCATCGTTGATTGATCAATATACAGATTCTGAGACGTGTGACTGAATCTGAATCGTAATTCAAGCGATGTGGTAAACAATAAGTAATAGATAAGTAAGAATGAATCGTAAAATGTTTCATTCTTTTGTATTTTATGCAGTGTCAATGTTTATGATAAAAATAAAATAATAAGAGATGTTACACTACAACATATCTGTAATGAGAACTGCAGTTTCTATAATTCTTTATCGCGTTTGAGTAATAATATCATCAGCCAAGGGAGGCAGGGAAGCCGTGGCCTCTCTAAATCTTAAAGAACAAAAATAATTAAAACCGCTTAAACAAGCTATGTTTAATGAGTATTCACAAAAAATTAATTTTGGAAAGGAAGAAAGAATTAAAGGTGAAAGTTATAGAAAGATTTTCTGAGAATCAAAGACGGCTAATATTGTAAATTTAAGTCTTTTCAATTCAAAGAATCAGTTTACAATTTTAAAAGAAAAATAAAGTAAATTAGTAAAGTAAATATGTGTAATTTTGTGATTTATCTATTAGTAATTAATTAAAAATAATAATATGAAAAAAGTCTAATAATCTTCATCTACCTTCCTTCTTCTCCTGGATTCAAAGATTTCAATTTCAATTTGCTCCTCCCCCCCCCACCCCCCAAACAAAATCCTGGCTACGCTCATGAAAATTATACAAATTTTTCATTCACTAAAGAGTTTCGTAAAAACTAAAATGTAATTGTAAAAGAATTATGTAGCTTTATAATGTAACGTAAATTTCGGTCTTTAAAAATGTAGCATTTTGTAATATACAACGATATTATAATTTCAAATCCTAAAACAATACAAACAAATAAGAAAAAGCTATTGTAAAATGCAGGGTATATACTTACATTGAAATATACTTACGCTATAAGAAATTGTCAAGTTGATAACATGATAATCATAAATCTGTTTTTGTAATCACGTAGAAAAGATCTTAATTTTCTAGGATTGGATTCGGAAGGTTACAGGTATTATAAATTTATTTATGACAATAATGTTCAATATATATTACTGACAATCGAATTTTGTCGCATCATAAGAGTATTAACGTTTCGTAACTTACTATTCGTATTACTTATTCTAAAGGTGTCAATAAAAATAGTGGCTGATGAAAACTATCGTTTTATTAACAATGTTATCGTAAGCGTTATAAATATGCATAGTGTTGTCGTTTTGATTGGTTCTGGAGATCATCTTTCCGAAAATTATCGGCAGTATATTTTAGCGAGAGACTCGTTACGTTTTTCAATTGAACGCCACGACGGATTCGCATTGAATAAATTCGCAATTATTACATGTTGTATATATGTATACGCAGTTCTCCTAAATATATCTCATATTCGTAATAAATGAGACTGATAGAAGTAGAGCTACAGTTTTGCGTTTGATTTCGTGCCACTTTGCGTCGTTCCCTTAGTCCGCTTTTACTCTCTACCTCGTACATATATTTTTCTCGTGTATATCAATATAAAATAAACATAGGAAAATCTTCAGTTGTTCGGCTTGAACGTCGTGTATTGCGGTGGCTTCTCGCTCTTGTAATGGGGCTTCAATGTCGCTAAACGATCGGGTTTGAGAAACAGCTGCTCCCCCTGCACAATTTCCATCTTAGGATCTTAACCCTCGGTAGCTCGCAAATTTCCATTCGAATTAGCCTGCTGCTGCTCATCGAACAACTCAAATCTTGAATATTTATTACTGATCTCAGCTACTTGTCTTTCATGAAGAAACTAGGAATTTACTTTTGAATCGTCTTAAATTCATGGTCTCTCTTTAAAAAGTGAAGATTATATCTACGGAAAGTTTTGTGTGCAATAATAATTCATAAATTATACTCGTACATAATAATTATAAATAATGCGCACGTATAATTTTAATTTCTAAAAAATACGAATTTTTGAATAGCATAAAAATAAATTCTCTCGATCGATTTATTGAAATAGAACGCAAAAAATGCGTAGCGTTCACGTAATACGTAGATTAACGCGCGAATTAGTTTTTTACATAAATCCTCTTAAAAAATAACGAAATATTTATATATGAATTATTTCGAATGTAGTTCGACATACGGAGTTGCAGAAGACTAATGCGAACTTAATACGAATGCATACGCGTATAGTGCACGAACGGGGGCACGAATTGCTATCATAATGTTCTACGGGTTATTACTTGGCAGTCGGGGATAGAAACTAGCATAGGTGCAATCTGTGCAATTCTAGGCGCGTCCGAAACGTGGCACGCGAGGACGTAAAGTTGCAGGGTTGTTCTACACCCATGACAGCACAGGTGCCAAATAATCCAGGCTACAGTTAGGTAGCAGATTCAATATGGCAGGCAAAATCGAGACTAAGGAAGTAAGATACGTGTGTATGTGTATGTATAATAACGTGAAAAGAAACGTAGACTGTACATAAGTATAACTGATCATTTATCTTATAAATGTACGTTATAAGAGATATGTGATGACGAATGAGAGAGATTGTTGCGATGAAATAAATGAACGAATAGACGAATAATTTCATACACGACGCGTTAATATGCATATCGCATAATAATTTATATTTTTTCATTAAATAATAAATTAAAAATAGAGTGAAAATAATATTAAAAAATTGAAAAAAAATTTCGATTGTAATCATTATAGTCGGGATTGGGATATATATATGGGTGTGATGATAAATGGTACCAATATGTATGATCACTTTTTAATGATGACAACTTTATACACGAAAGGGAACTCGGCACAACTCCTCGAAACTATCTCGTACGCCATACAGTGAAGTCCCATATTGTTAATCCAATTACAAAGTCGATGGTGTTCGCCTTCAGACTTAATTAATGTCGATGATAACAGGAGATATAATATTAGCTAATCTTAATAGGATGATAACGGTAAACAATACGGTGCGTCGTACTTGAGTTAGATGAAAGTAATCGATGGGAAAGTTTCTCTGTACATAATCTCGTGAGGTGCAGGGTACATAGAAAATGCAATTCCGACATGCTCACTCGTTGGTCGACACGTCCTGAAACGATCTATACAGCTTGGTTCCCATTTTTCTGAGAGTCTCATTGTTGAACCGATAAATTATTCGTATATGGCTACTATACAACTGTGAATCGAATCATTGTCGGTTGTCGGCTTTGTTCAAACTACCCTTTGCAACAGCGACGTAGAAGCGCATCGTCGTAATTATCGCAAACGTACGTGGGCGATTACACATCGCTGTTAACGTTGAAACTTTCATTAATTGGACGTCGATTCGTATGTTAGATCGTGATCTAAACAGGTATACGTATGTATATGCGTATGTACATATGCACTTAGTGTTCAATAGATATAGCAACATATCGTTATTAAATCGTAATGAGCATAGTTTCGATTACTAATTAGTATCTATGATACAAACACTCTTCAAATATGGTCTTCGACGGTTCGTTTACAATGCTTATCAGCGTTTCAAGCATACGATGTCAACGATCGGATAAAAGAAGGGGAAAAAAGAAAGAATTTATCTGCATTATTGATATTTGCTAATCGCGCCTACAATTTTTAGTGGCAGTGTGGAATAATGTATAGCACAGTAACGAGTTTCGCGTAACAATTAATTATTTCGTTCACAATGGCTGCGTTCAGCAGAAAAAGCAGCTTTCTCTGCTGAACGCAGCCAATGCTTATCGTCGTTTCAAGCATACGACGTCAACGGTCGGACGAAAAAAAAAAGGGGGAAAAAGAAAGAATTACGTCCGTAATATTGATATTTGCTAATCGCGCCTACAATTTTTAGTGGCAGTGTGGGGTAATGTATGGCTGTAACGAGTTTCGCGCAACAATGATTAAATTACAGCTATTCTCTTATAAGTTTCCGAAACGATTGGATGATCTCGGTGCGCGGATCGGTCGTTCGTCATTAAGAGCTGCGAGCGTAAATTCGGCGATCTCGGTCGAGTTCAGTCTTACGTTCTTGAATCCCGCAGGACGCGCGGCTGCAGGGAATATACTCCTTTCTGGATGCAAGTGAAATCAGAACAGAACGAGGTGAGCTATCCCCGCGAGAAACGAGCCGAGACTCTCGGCAAGAGAATTGATAGGAATTCAGTTTACGATTAAGTGTTTCAATTTCATTCGTAATGAATTCCACTCAATTCACCTTAATCCGGTTTACTTTTTACAAGGATGAGACGCGACTCAGACGGAATCGTGCGCGTACAACCGGCCAGTAGAGGCGGCGTTATCGTCGACACGCTCTACTTATGTACACATCTATCTAAATTAAATTACAAACAAGGACACAGCGGTAATTGGTGGAGGGACACCCGGGAACTAGATGCAACCAAATGCATGCGTAATGCACCCTACCGAGCGCATAAATCACTCAAGCGACTATCGCGATCGGAGAACATGATACGTTCGATACTTGCGCGAGCAGAGCGTCGTGTCGCCGCATAAGTATTGTAATTTAACGTTGGATCGTCTAAAAACTTCTTGCGCGAGTCGCTAATGGATGGTGTCGTCTCCCGTATAATCGTATATAGTTATATTATTATATAACGATCGTAACATCATAATAAACTTTAACGCGTGAAAAAGAACGCGAGCGAGGATGACGTACGCGTTAATTACTTTCATTGGTGTAAGGAATCAACAAATTTTTGGACGACCCAGTAGAGTGTATTGGGTACATTAAAACGTAACGTGTATCTATATTTATACATCTCCACGTTGGTCGTGTGTATGTGTGAGTGTGTGTATGTGTGAGTGTGTATTTGTGTGTGTGTGTGTTTGTGTGTATCGGGAACACAAATACAATATTTTATTTATATATAAAACCCTCGAGATCTTTCCGGGAGAAAAGGTGGAAAGTTTGCGCTCCTCGTTCCTTGCCTTTTTTAATCCGATTTAGTGTGTCCCGTTCCTCGTCTTGTAGAAGGAATTTTTCCTGCGCCAAGATTGCTCGCTCATTGATTCAATTAATGGATATATATACGGACGTGCGGGGCGCGTCAACATTAAAAAAAAAAAAAAAAAGTTGTAATCTCTAATATTTTTCTTTCTTGTATGTTTTTTTACTTGACGAGCCCCCGAAAGCGAATGATAAAAAAAATAATCAATAAATGCGGTAATCACCGAAATACAATTCGATAGATTAAGGATAAGCATTAATATCGACTCATTAATACGAATTAAATCGCTACGCTAATCTAGACGGTTCACTTTGCAATCAGGTCAAATTGCATGCACTTGCAGTTTTGCCTTCGCGAATGCATCGATTAAATTTAAACGCGCGTGCTTCGGTCAGGTAACTACTCTCAAACGAGTGCAATAAGCAAGCGATTGAAAAAGAATCTTGTTTAAAGCAGAATAACTGATACTCTATAATGTGCTGATTGGTGATGCAGTAAAATTGAATAGGAGAATATAAACTGTTTGTGATAGATGTTGATATGCTCTACGTTAATAAAAACAGTAGAATTTTGCATAAAGAGGAATATATAAATATTAATGTCAGAGAAACACTTAAAAGTCTGCATTTTTTTATTACGCAAAACTTTTTTATTACTCAAATTTAGTAAGAGATCAATATAGCTGTGATACAAAAATCATCTTTCAATGAGGAGAGATTTTATCTTTCAGTAAAAGTTTTAACCTACGTTCAATGAAATTTATGCGCTTGATATTCAAAATTCAAGATTCTTACTTTCATTATAACTGCACTTTTTAATGTAACCATATAACAAAATAGTATTTTGTAGAAAACGTTATAATACAATATAATTTATACACCGTATTATAATGTAATATATTTACATATTATTAAAAAGTTAACATAGTAACGAGAAATTTATCGTGCAAAACAATCTATAACTGCAACACCTAATCACTAACTTCGAACGTGTTTGAAGGAATTATACGTTGTGTTATATGTTAATTATACGTTAAAAATGATACAAACTTTACGCGATTAAAGGTGCCTCTGCTCAATTCGCAAATCGCAAAACGTAGTTTGCAAATGTTGATGCAGAACGATGATTATCGCACGCAAGTTACACGCAAATGAAAACCAACTACACGCAATGAAAAAACAAATGCAAATTTTCATTCTGCGTTTGTGTTTGCAAATTACGTCTTGCGATTTGTAAATTATGTAGAGACAACGGTACGTGACAAATAATAAATGAAAAACGAGAGGAAGAAAAAAGAGAAAACGGGAAGAGGGAAAGAAAGAAAAAAATAGCACGCCAGGTTTTAGCTATGCAGCTGTGCGAGAATATATAATTTGTATTCTTTTTTTCTATTTTATTTCCAACTTAACTGACCTGCAACGTATATTGTCCGTGAGGCTGCCCATGATGATGATGCCTCTGATAATGTTGCTGTTGGTGTTGCGGGTCGTGCTGATAACACTCTTGCTGGTATTGCTGCGACGGGACGGGCTTCAGAACATGATTGGCTCGTTTCTCCGGGACAAATTGCTGACTCGTACGATCCATCGTATCCACTGCCAAGCGTGGATCCTCTATCATAGCGTTGGAAGCCTTTGTGCTGTATGGAAATGGTAGATATCATCCCGGTTTCGTTTCATTATAGATGCTTTGTGTATATACCCTATGCAATACGCAAAGCAATGCCTTTCGGATAATCCCTTTAAAGGGTTCCTTAGCCTATTCAGCTTGAATTAAATTGTAAGAACCTACGTAATAGCTAAGGCGATTAGATAATTTATTCATTTTGTCATAGTGTACAAAGTATTCTTTAAAAAAAAGGCTTTACTTTGAGAACAATCTTATAAATATTCTTCCTTTTTCTTAAGTTGTGGGTATTAATAATTTTATTCATTATGTTTTATAAATAATAGCGAATTTGATTGGACGCAGTAATGCGTAGTAGTGCATATTAAAATCGTTGTATACTGATTTAATCTGAGTGTAAAGCTAAAATGTAAATATTTTGAATTATAAAATATATACCTTACCTAATAGCACGATAAAGTGTATTGGGTATTTCATGGTTTAATCAATGTTTAACCAATGTTTAACGGTTTCCATGTTTATAATAAATATGTTTATGTCAATTAACAATTTGTGTATAACGGCTTTAATACACACCAGTACGCATTGAATGCATATAATCGAATTCGCTATAAGTAAGTTATATCTATTAATTATCTTTTTGTTTTTTGTTTTTAAATCACTCATTCATATTCATGCATATTCAAATTCATAAATAGTACTATTGTACGTTTTGGTCAAATGTACACAATATTGGAGCATCGCTCCCACGACGCTTATATAGAAGAAAGGCTTTGCCTTGAAAACAAGGTGATCTTATAAATATTCTTCCTTTATCTTGGATGTTATTTAATAGATTTATACGTTTTGACAAATAAATAATATTTAATTATCTTTTTGCTTATTATTTTCTTATAAATCGAGCATTATTTATTTATCCAGAATGTTATACGAGACATGTAAGATTTAAAAAATGTATCTTTCTTTCTGAAATAGAAATCCCGTATTCCTGCGTATGCAAATTCGTAGATATTCTAACATGGTTCTGGTCAAATGTACATACACAATATTGGAGCATCGCGCGTGATCCACGGCGCCGTCTACTCGCCTATAAATCATCGCGCAATGTAATATCGTGTGCTTACCAATGCACTTGCTGCAATGCCGGTACTGTGTTTCTGGCTACGCAGCATCTATCCGAACGTAGGAAACAAACGAATCCCATTATCAGTACCGAGAGCACCGTGAATCCGGCCACCGCGCCGATAACAAGCGGGATCTGAGGACAAAGAAAGAATATTCTATATACGTGCATCGCCAAAACATTTCTCACAAACATTGATGTAGATTTCGATGTAGTTTTTTCGCGTTTATTCGCATACGTCGATTATATAGAAATATAAAATTTGACAACTTGTTTCATAAATTGTACATTCACTTCAACTAGAATAGACAAAGAACTCGACAAAGAATTTTTCTTGACGTGTGAATACTTTTCCTGGTTTGTCTACGAAAAGAGCTTACGTTTTAGATGACGTTAGAAGTCTTGGAAAGAATAGTACGTAAAACGTTATGTCTGCAACGTTTACCTGGCCGGGCTCATCGACTTTCAACATGAGTGCTCGTCTGTCACTGCCACGATCGTTCTCCACGATAACATGATACAGCCTTTGATCCTCTTTCACTGTACTTGTCAACTCTAAGATCGCTATATAACAATCTTCTGAAGCCAACGGCTCCAGATCAAGCGCGCGATAGCGCGGTTCCAGAACCTCACCTGTCAATAAGAACAACTCCATGCATATCTCAATAATATTATGTATTTATCCTTCATTTCCATTTCTACGAATAACTGAAAGAAAATTTCGCAAAATAATGAACATAATACGCATCCTATATAATACTGGAAAGTAAGAGAAAATGAGTGCAAATTGTAACAATCAGATCGACGAAGCTACTATTAAAAAGCTAACTAATTGTAAGAAAAATAATAAATTAATATTAATAAACATAAAAATAAATCTATAAACATGTATGAGGGATAAAAGTTTCAAAATATTTTACAGAATTTTCGGAAGTGTAAACACGTTAAGAGGGACTAATTAATCGGTATCTCGGATAATAATAAGTGCAAAAAATTCACGGTATCCGGCGTGAGAGAGCATCGATTTGGGCCTCGCGGAAATTGGACGGATGTCTCAAGACCGAAGCGATCTCGTAGCTCGGGTTACGAGCGAGTGATCAATTAACCAAGGGGTAATTGCGAATAGCGGTGGGATCGTCAATAAGGTACCCGGCGTGGAGTGCCAATTATGTCGGGAAGCATTGAAAAAATTGTGTACGAAAGAGCAACCCCGAGAGCAGTAAAGCTGGCGTACTCTTTCCGCTGATTCAACGAAGGTGAAGGGAAGTTTAACGGGGCTCTAGTTTCACCGAATAAAAAAGAAGAAGAAGGCAAAAGCGAAGGGAGCGTTAATAACTACGGCCGTTTGTGCTACTCGTTTGTAGTATTCGAAACAAAAACCAAAGTAAAGTTTGCACATTAATGGTTCGTTGAGCGAGGTGACGGACGTTTCGTTTCACGGGAAACGCATAACGAAGAGGCAGACGCGTAACGAAGGAGGACTTGTTGGAAAAAGTTGGTGGTCGAGGCGAAAGTCAAAGTGGAATAAAGTAAAGTCGAGTCAGCCCGACGTCTGCCGTAACAATTTTAGTACGCGAACAATGTGCTTCGAAAGTGGTATCTCTTTCGTACACACATTGCCCATGTTTCTCGTGTTTACTGACACGTTTACAAGGATAAAGAGCATAGATGCAGCTATCATTTGCGGGTAACTCGAGCGGTGAGCGATCTAGAACGCCATTGTATTGCGAAGAGTAATACAAAGCGACCGAGAGATCAATGTTCCTTTAAACTCTAATAGAAAGTTTCCGCGAGTTGAACTAGTTCTTTTAACTCTTTCTCTTCTAAACGACGTTCTTTGTCATTTACTAATATCGCAAACGCGTCTATCGCTTTATAATAATCTTTAATAATCTTCTTTATTTTATGTCTCGATAAAGATCAAATAATTTTTTCGATAAATAATTTTATTTACACGAAAAGAACGATTTTGCTGAAGTATATAAAAATTCAGTCAAATACAGACCTGAAAATAATTTTATTACACCATTAAAATAATTACGTAGGAATTTCAAACATGATGAGTAATATCGCAAAAAGTTTTGACATTCTAGCAACAAGTTTGAGCATTCTACATAATTATTCTTATAGTCTAACAAAATTATTTTCAAACCCATATGTAGTTAAATTTTTAATTACTTCAGCAAAACCGACTTTTCTGTGTATATATTAATAGATTCGATATAATTTGTGACAATCTTTTATGTATTCTAATAAGTTTTTAGCGATGATTTTAATTTGTATACTTTCAAAATCTTTTTATACACGGAAAAAGAAAGATTTTGGTAAAGTATCTAAAAATTTAGCTAGATTCAAATCTCAAAATAATTTACTGTACTATCAAATTAATTATATAAAATGCTCAAACTGATTGCTAAAACTTTTTATAGCGTTGCTTATCATGTGTGAGATTTCCACACATAATTATTCTGATGGTCCATCAAAACTATTTCAATATCTACTTATCTAGATATATAACTATCTATCTAAACTTTTAGATACTTCAACAAAATCGTTCTTTCCGTGTATCCTTTACAACATATTTTAAATTACAGAAAATTGTTATATCAGACGACTCTGACGATGTCGAAATAAGAAGAAAGTAGTAAGTTCAATTAACCAGATTACATATATTCTTCTGTTCGTACAAAAATATCTTAAGAAAAAGAATTTTAGCTGTACTATCCGCTCTTATCGTTACCTCTGTTATTTACCCCATGATGCGAAACTTATAACAGAACACGTACGTGCACGTAAGGAGGCAAAAGGCCAAAGTAAAGACGAAATCGAATACTTCTTGTGATAGTTTGAGGCAAGCAGTCTCTAACCGGCGTGCAGTCTGGTGCTGCCCCATTCCCAGGCTACGAGCCGCGGCTTCGGGTCGGAGCACAGTCTGATCTCTAATCTGGCTGGGTTACCCTCCGTCGTTACGACGACAAACTTCTCTGTGATGGTCGGCTTCACCACCTGCGACACATGTTTAACGTCCTTTGAATGGAAAGTTCGTTGCTGAGACCTCCCTTCTCCTCTTTCGCGGTCATCAAACGGCGAACGTGAATGTCGCGAGTTACTTTCTATTCGGACTATCTCACGGTGGTGCACGATTACTGTCGTTCTGTGGGTAAAACTTCGTAGAGAGCAGCTTTAAATCAAAACTAATCGAATATGATACGAATTATTAGATAATTAAATATATTTAAAAAATACACTCTATAATAATATACTCTATAAATAATCGATATTTAGACGAATACAGCGATTCATCAAAAGTGCGGAAATACATGCAGCGAAAATCGAAACATTGTAGATAGACTGTGGCAATTATTTTTTTTTTTTTTTCGTTAACATACCGGAATCTGTGAAAGAGATATTATCAAGAAATATGATAGATGATTCAATAAAAAAAAAAGGCTCAATTTAGATATGAATGATACGTGACTAAGCATCAAAAATACGAAACTGAATGATATGTGTTTCATGAACAAAAACTGTAAATCATTTTCGGTCGTGAAAGAAACTTATGATTTATGATGCGTACATTATAACTCAATTCATTGTCATCCTATGTGCATCGCGAGATAAAAACATTATCATACGGATACATTTTTCACATTATGATACATTGAGATAATTCATACTCATTTCTACAGACTATCGCAGTTTCAAAACCACATCTCATGTATCGTTGAAATGTATACGTGCAAATGTAATTCATCATTTTTACGATATTTGTATCGGCAACGCTTGTCACGTTTTCGTACATATTGCAATCATAATTAAAATATTGATTTGATTACATGGTATCGACATTTCAACTGATTTCCAGGCAGCATGTCTATGAAATAAATCGTATAATAAAATTTTTCCAATTGCTCCTTTCGCGTGATATTCGACTCCCGAGACGAACGTGTAATATAAAATAGCTGTGTGCGTACGCAACGTCAAAATCAATTTGAATGAGATATTAATAGCGCTGTCGAATTTTAACAGATGAAATGGTTTCATATTAAATGAAACGGAAATCAAACCTTTGTGCAGCCAGTAACCTGCATTAAGTTGCGTGCATTTTGCCAGGCAAATTCAATAAAAAAAGTCCCGCGATATATTAAAATTGAGTTTTTTTCGTTAACAGCCAGATAATTAGCTATTGAATTCAGTCATTGATCAGAATCAAATTACGAAGGTTTGTAATATCATGGTAATTGGAATATAATTTAATCTCTGTTGTATGCAGTTCTAGTTATGTTGTGTTTACAAATTTTACTTGCAATATGCGCTTCTGAATATACATATAACTAAATATGTATATATATATATATAACATGTGTGCATAAAATACCGAATACGAAATATACAATAAGAATTGAGTAACATCAGACAATTTCTTTGATAAATCAAATACAATTGAAATTTGTTTGAAAATTCGTTCTAACACGTACGCGTATTTATTCTGGATTGTTATGTACAAAAGCATTGAAGTGACCTTTCCAATTAATTGCAGCTATGGTTATTTTTATGTGAACAAAACAAAAACATATATGTACCTATATGATATTGAGGCGCTCTTTTGAAAGAAACAACGCGGTTCGTTACAAATAACGAAGATATTGATTTTTTGTATTATTTACTCTGTATAATAAAACTCGATGATGCAATGTACACGCATTGTGATTAGTGATTGAAAAAGTGAATGAAGGATATTGTCATTAAAAATGCATTTTAAGTTGAATGCGGATATATTGAATATATCGCGATATATATATCTTAATAACAAAATTTATTGGCGTAATATTGACTAAATATATTTCTAATTGATGTTAATATTTAACCAATATCTAGCTAATAAATTATGCTAGTCGAGTATATGATAAAAATAATTTTTAAATATATTGTTTTATCACAATTATTAGAGCAATATATTATTTACTTTGCAATAAATGGATAAATAAATAATACGTGTTATAAGATCTGCACAAGAGTTAACTTTTCACTACAATGAAAAATAATTTACTTAACAATAATGTACAAGGTTGTAAGTTTTAATTTGCTTGTCAAGTTGTGTTCGTTTCATTAAACATTAAATCATTCTGCAACCTCCTTTTTTTTGCGCGAATTTATCCACGTTGGCGCATACAACGATCTCAGCTCATCCTTGGTATATCGTATTTTCCACGAAATAATGAAGCAGAACGAGGTTGATGCACTGGAGCAACATTTCTTCTTCGTTACAAACTACATTTTCCATTCATTTTTTTTCCATCCGATATTACATCCGGGTAGTCGAAGTTGAACGACGGACTTTAGGCAAAGTATTCACGAGGATATTCCGTTACCGCGTTCGCGAAAGATATTCAATGATCCCTGGATCCCGTAAAGTAATGAAGCGATATTTTTTCGCGACGCGTCCGCCGGAAACGCTATTCGTCAACGTCGGATCCCCCTGGTAATTCTGATTTGCAGCGAAACTTTTTCAACGTTCCGCCGCGACGATGCGTCGTCTTACCCGTGGAGCGCCGACCACTTGCAGGGACACAGGGTCGCTTTTAACTTCCCTGACGTTGCCATTGATCTTGTTGGAGGCGAGACATATGTATTGACCCTGTTGCTCATACGTCACGTTCGTCAGGATCAATCGCTGCCCCGTTCCGCATTCCAACGGCATGCGGCCGTCCGTGAATATCTGTGCCCATCTGCACACGCATCACCGCACATCGGAAATTTGCAAATTAAAGACACTTCCAAATGCCACCGCGGAAGTATAAGCTAATGAAAAGATATAAAAATAAAAGAAGGAAATTAATAGTTAATAATTTTTGCTCTAAGCTACATATCAGATGTTAGACTCTTGTAAATCGAAGTGTAATCTAAGAAAGCGAATGAAAATTAAATGGAAAATTAAAAATATAATAGCATTTTGTAATAATTAAAAAAAAAACGCTTATCAATTTTGATACGTAATAAAATTTATTCTTAATTTGATGTGATTTTACAATCAGGTAGATCATTTTAAGCTTTTCGAAATATGAAAAATCTCAAAGTTGGAAAAATCAGCCATCAATATGAGTGAATGCAAAAAAAAATCTAAAAGAAGTGAAAATAAAATAATTGATATGGATCACCTGTACTCGGCTGGCGGCATCGCGTCAGCATGACATTCGAAGGATGCACCAGAATATAACAACGCAGTTGTTAATCGATCCGGTCCGACTGCGCTGATCGTCGGTGGATCTATAAAAAATAAATTTATTCTGAAACTATGAATAAAAGTTATTTCGTATAACAGTTTCTATTAATTTTTATTTCATATCTCTTTTAAAATAATTATTACGTGAATATTCACGTATATAGTGATTCGAGATACAGAAGATAAAGACAATTACAGTATATTATTTAGTGAAAATTCTTATATATCAGAAATGATAGCCAGAGGCCACCAAAATTTTGGAATGCATTGAAGTGAACATGACAGATTAAGAATCGCAAAGTGACAGTGGTACACGTACAGTTTACGGACACCTGTACTGAGACCGGACTGCTCTCGCCTTCGATGTTTGACGCCTCACAGAGGTAAACGGCGGCGTGATTTCTGTAAATTGGGGAGAACATGAGGGTTTCTCCGATACTAGCCACTTCTGTCACCCCAGGACTCTTGGTTTTCCTCCAGAGGATCGAAGCTGGCGGATTAGCGTCAGCGAGACATCGGATTTCCAACTGATCGCGGCCCTCCTCGAGCTGGCCAGTTGGGACGCCGACTAATCTCGTCTCCGGCGCGTCTAAATTCATGCGAAATGCTCAGTTAATCACGAGAGCTCTAATCCCTCGTGCCGCACTATAAATATACATATATACATATATATATATTAGTTATTATTTATTGTAATACACATCACCGTTTATGTCATTCAAGTCATTATTCGTCGAATACTGCATCACACAGAATTCAGGGAACAATCTTCATTCATTTAATTATAGAAATAGTACAATACATTGATTAAGACAAAATCTCTTGAAACAAATGTATGTTTTAATTTAAAAAATGATTACTCTTCTATTTTTGTCTATTTCTTATTATTAATTTGGATTGTTTAAAATTTCGCCAATACTTAATATACATGACTTTGAAAATTTTGATTGATTAGAGATGAAGAGACCATATATTTGTATTGTATATAATTATGACTTAATTTTTAATGTTAAATATCTTGAATATTATTTAACAATATTAACTAATGATATGATAATATTACGCGAATCTTTTTTTTGGAAATATGCTCATTATCCATCTTTGGTGGATCCATATAAAAAGCGAGAGATCTACCGTATCGATTTTAACGAGACGGAAATTACGTATAATTATTCTCGGAAGAGCCCTTTCATATTCATGTCACTTAGTAAACAAGAGGAATTTAACGTAAATGCGGTCGGAAAACGGGGGTTCCGTCATTACTATCAGCTTTAATCACACTGAAATCACTGGTCGCGATGTGCGGGAGACCGTGAAAGATAAACATCGGATACAGAAAACAAACGTCCGCAGCATAAAGTTTTCAGATTGAACCACTCATTAATGAGCTCTTAGTCGAAAGCAGAATTCACATTCACAATCAGATGCATTTTTGCTTCGAAATGAGATTCCAACTTTACTTGTCAATATTAAATATTAAATTCCATCCGGTCGTACATGTGAGAACACAACTCATAGAAATAAATACCTTTTATGATCTATAGTAGTTTTTATGAACTATTCGTTGATTGACAGAAAATAAAAAAAATAAAATATGTATATTTCTTACTTCCATATATTATTATTTCTTTTTAAGCCATCTGTTTATCGATTGGCCGGAGAGATAAAAAAACTTGAAATAAAAATTTAAATAAAAACTGAATGTTTCTTACTTTTAAATATTACTTCATTTTTGTTAATGTAATTGTTCGTTTAAAAAAGCATCTGGCAAATTATATCAGATAAAGATACGTCGTCATGCAAGATAGATATTCTGGTTTAAGAAATTAAATTACGTGAACGCGGTCAATCGTGTCATTGTTTCCCCGATGGACCAAGCAAAGTGGAAACACTGCGTTGACTTTGGTTTCACGTATAACTGATGGTACCTGGTGGACACGATGGAAAAAGCGTGTGTCCGGGTCACGCGGTAATTACCTTCTTCGAATAATTAATTAATCACCGTGAGCGATGAATTTCGCGAAATATACTGTGAGCAAGAACATATTGCCGCTGTGCAACTGGTTTTAGTATTAATTTGTATATAATCGAAATAGCATACACACGTTGCGTTATAACAAATCGCCATTTATTATTGTGCTTGTTGTTTGATTCCTTACCAGTAATCGACTAAAGGTGACCCTACACGGTCAATAATACTGCCAGTATTAACGAATACTAACAATATTATTGATTGTGTGTGGTTAACCCTTACTGTACTAATATGGGTAACTTAGTGATTCCTGTTCGTGTAAGTTTCTTTGAGTCTTTCGGTAATTATAAATTATACTACATTTTACTATTTTCCAAAATAAAGAGTCAATATTTATTCTAGAAAATTGAAAGTATGTTGGTGAATTTTTAGAGATTTTTTGAATTATTTTGAAGAGGTGAAAAAACGAAGAGATTCTAGTGACCCTTGATAGTATGGATGAGGCACCAAATTGTATATAGTATACGATAAGAGTTAATATTGATGGATTGACGTAGAATATATTGACGGTGATCTGGATTTTGATTCTTGAGCATCAGTATCGCTTTATTAAAATCCAGTCACAATGCAATAGATGCTATACATAAAACTAAAGTGAAATATATCGTCAATAATATCTAATCGTGTAATTAAAGATACTAAATATATTAATGCATAGTATTACTGATTCAATATTACTGATCAGTATTATTGATCGTATAAGGTCATCTTAAGAGCTTCTCACTTTACGTCTAAAAAATATACATTGAATGATCGTTACTATTGTTCCTGGGATGTTTATAATTTCACATTTTTTCACATTACAAAAGCATTGTTTAAATGCATCGCGTTCACGTGTTTGTATCACGTACAAATTTTTTATATTACGCGACATACATGTAATACAACGAATAATTCTTCGCAAATCGTAATTTCGGCATACTTGATGATGCACGAGCTGTAATTTCGGTTGATTTTGATGGAAAACTAGCACAGTTACGGCATCCTGTTCACTGAGTGATGATGTAATTCATGTTTATTTACTCGATATTTATTTAATTTACGGCCGTATAAACCGGAGGCAATTTTCATCAGCGAGCCGGCTCACTTCTGGTTTCCATATTCATGTAATAGGTCATCGTTGCGGCCATTAAAAATGTTAAACGCTGTTACGTTTAATGAATAACATTATAGCGTATGCAACGAGATGAGCCACAAACGTAAAACCGAGTTAATACACGTCACTTTGAGAGTCAACATGACACATATATAATAATAAAGACATATACATATACATATATATATGTATACATATATATACATACACTATTATTATCGTAGAAAACATAAAAACATATCAATCTTTAAAGCGTCGCGGATTAACTTGGTTTTATGTTTATAGCTTATTTCGTTGCATATGCTATAATGTTATTTATTAACGTTTAACATTAACGTTAAACATACATATGTGTATATGTGTGTACGTATATTGTAATTTTATATTTATCATATATTTCAATAAAATCGCACAATATTGTGTTTCTACAAAAAATGTACTAATTTTAACCTTTTTTTTTAAATTTAAATTACGTTGTTTGTATACTTACTACTAAAATATACATATAATTATAATTTATAGAGGTTGCAATTTCCTAAACATTTACCCATACACGTCGCTTCTATTACCATGACAGAGTGTAATTAACGCATTTCCCTCTATGCGGATTTCCCTTTCAATATAAGATTATATTTGTTCAGCTAAAATGCAATTAATTAATTGATTAATTAAAGTTTTGATATGGAAGATTATCGATAGATGAGTTAATTACGACAATCATTCATAATTGAAATTGAATAGAATATAGAGAGAAATATCTGCACAAGACGAAGGGGACCTTTTGAATGACGGTATGTTGAAAAAACCTTTGTAAATGAAGAAAAATATGTATATTGAAAATGTACGTATATAATGAATTTCTTATAAATTCATATGCTTCACTATCTTCTTTTCGTGTGATCATGTAGATTTAATTTGAATTTAATAAAGCTTATTTAATTTAATTGAATTTAGTAACTTTAGTAAACACGAGTTTGCGTAACTATGCTCATTGCATTTTCATGAAAACAAAGTACGTGAGATGCGAAACGGAAGAAGATTATAGCGCGAATAATGTGAATCAATGTGAATTAAACATAAGACCACGTTTTAAAAACTTAGATTTAAAAAGCACTTAATATCAAATATCGCAAAAAATTATTATATGACAAATTAAAATTGTATATATCTCCCTCAAAATTTTCTATCATAAATCTATAACTAAATTTATAATTAAATATATGATTATCATAAATTTATAATTAAAAATAAGAAAATCTATCATTAAAAATAAGATTAAGATAAAATAAAGTACTTTGTTAATTACTAAGACGTTTTAAAGCAAATTGTTGAAAAGTTGCAACAAGCCTTTTTTTACTAAAAAGTTTTTCTAAAATCTTAATTTAAATTCATTAAAAACCGTGACTGTCAAAATCGACACTGCTATAAAACACATAGATCATCCGAACAAGCAATTTAGCACAAAATGCATTTTTGTTAACGAGACTCATAATTTTTACCGTTCCGCAATTCACTTTTTCGATCGCTTGTGAAATTTATCGAATTGTTCTAGGTGTGAAGGGAAAGAATCGGGAGAAGGAAACATGAAGGATGAAAAAGTCAGCCGGCAAACGCACTGGTGCTTGAATCGAGTCACCATTTTCGTTTAGGCGCGGATAGCCAGCGCAGCTGTTCATTTCACGTAACAGCGATCCCGAAATACGCGCGACAGAGCAGTCGCTGACCCATCCAGAATTTTAGCTGCTCTCTCTTTCTCTTTCTTTCTCCCTATATTATTTTTTATTTCGTACCGATCGTGCTCAATACGTTCTTTTTTTATCCAACTTAGAGCACGTAAAAGTTTCTTTTCTGCATGTTCCGCAAGAAAGAACAGCGTATTTAAGAGCGAATGTATTGAGAAACTACTTTTTGTAAAAACTATAAAACAAAAAAATAATCTCCTTTAATTTAAACATACCTTTTTTTTTTTAATTTAAAATGAAGAATGAAATGTATCGAATTCGCCTACATTTTTCATCTCAAATATGGAAATTTGTAGATTTTATCAATCTTTTTTGCTTTTGTAATTTTTACTATGCCATTAATTTATTTTCGTTGGCTATAATCCAGCAGGCTAAAAGAGAGCACGTCTCATCAAACTACTAATAAAATTAAACGCAGCGTATTATAGAAATCAAACGTTTGTCGAATGTTTATGGAAATGAAAAGTATTCAGATTCAAGTACTCTGCAAAAATTATGCGCGGCATCTGGATCTAGTAATACCTCTGCAGATATTGGCAGGATAATTTTATCGAGGAATTTCTGAAGAGTTTTTCCCTAAAACTCGATTACCCGATGTGTACTCTGCGCATTTTAGCGCGCCGTGCCGAAATATCGATCATTCGAAAAATCTTTTATTCAGTCAGAGGGTCTGATGTTATTTCCATATCCACGCCCGCGTCGTTGTTTGAAGTTTACTC